GCAATGGCCTCGGTTTCAGCTTCCGTAAAAGCTAACGGCCTTGGCCACTGCAAGTGATACTAGGCGACGAGCGCCGTGTTAATCTGTCCTCTGAACAGATTAAAAATTACAGGAAAACGGAAAACAGCGAGTGTACTTCTACTCTTCCAGTTCCAGCGCCAGTTCCAGCACCACTGTGTGGTGTTGTACGGGACAATCCGTTCTTATCATAAATCTAAAAATCGCACAGGTGGATTATGCGCTCAGCCTACCTCCTAAATATAAACGCTGATGTCCCAAAGCGTTCAAATGCAATTCTTTCAGATCCATCATCATTTTCGTTCACCTGTTGGCCCGCGGCTCAGTGTTAGCCGTTGGGCCGACGCTGCGCCGCCTATGGAGGCTGCAACGTCTGGCATTGAAATTGTTTAGTTGCGAAGATTTGCGAGCGCCCATGTTCAAGACTACGCTACATAATCTGCACCACCTATCGATTCTGACTGAATGTTAAAGGTTTCCAGACATACATGGCTTAGCCATGTCGATACAAAGTGTCGACCCATTTTGACCTACAGTCTACCTCTGCGATATGCCGAATGTGACTGTGGGATCCATATAAGATATTCTGACAGAGCTTCTGAGTTTTATTAGTTCAGAATGTCCACTGATTTCTTTAGAAATAAAGAGCACCGGTAATTTATTCCATGCAGTCGCCCAACCCCTCATTTCTGCGATTTATTGACTTGAAAACACAAACAGAATTGATCAAGCGGTAGCTTCTGGTTTTTGCTTCTCTGGTGACAAGGCAAAAATAACAGTAAAACGACGGTGACCATACCCCTTGTTAACAAGCAAGCTATATCTGATGACTTTCTAGGGGGAGGGTCACTATCCGGGAGGCCGTTTATCAACCAAACCCCTCCCCTGGAAAGTATCTGGCTAAGCCCCTGCCTACACACAAGAGTAGGCCAAGTCATCTACTTTGAATGATGGGCAATTAAATGTCCGTTGGGGTAATTCATACCTAAAGCAGGCAGCTCATCCGAGGTCTTTTCTGCTGTGATGTGGTGTAAAGGAAGATGACTCTGAAAAAGATGCTGTTGCTGGCGTCCGCTATATGCTTTACTCACAAATGACTAGAAATGCTGATCTATAAACATGCAACAAAGCAGTCATGCTATCAGTTCGCGGTCAATTATGCGGGATAGCTGGGCCAGGGCAGTGGCTGTCGACGGCGGACGGAAGTAAGGCTCAGATAAGGAATATATGTCAGAGGGTCCTTTTTTCTGCGACTTGGCTTTTTATAAGAGAAGATCCAGTTCTATGGCTTTTGTCACATTGCTTTTGGCTGTTAGTAGTTGAAGCTTCCGAATTAATTCCACCTAAAACGCTGCGAGAAATCTTTCATTCCAAAAACATAATCTAAATATCATGGCACATGAAAACTCTGGCGTACTATGGGCCTTCAATTCGCAATCAACATTCTGGCCAGTCTGTATCCAGGTGGTGCCATAGCACCTACCCTACAGCGGCAGATGCCTCCCCAATGAGCCAGAACGCGCACCCGTTCGTGTAATTTCGCCCCCCCCCCCCCTCAAGGAAACCAATATCGAAATGGACAAATTATTTGACAAATGATGGCGATGAGTCGAAACGAAAGCATTGTGCACCAATGGGAAACAACTGTAGACACACACACACACACACACACACACACACACACACACACACACACACATATATATATATATATATATATATATATATATATATATATATATATATATGTGTGTGTGTGTATATATATTATAGTAACCATGACAGTTATGGTTTCCCAAAATGTATTATGTGAATTAAGACCGGACAATAATATTTGCCTTCACCTCTCCCCGCCCCTTCTTCGGTCATCGGGCTTGCTTCCGAATAAAAATCCCTGAATTATATCCTGAGCCTGCCCCCTTCCCACTTTTTGAAACGTTTTTGTACATCTATGATCCCGGAAATAGCGTTAGGACCTCTGGAAAGCGTAATGAGGCTTAAAACCTCTCTATCGGCGAAGAACAATTATTGTCCTATCGCGAGTCCTTTACTTTCGTTTGCGCCTGTTATTGGTCGCCTTGAAACTCAAAGAGGTCCAATTGTGTGTTGTGTGTTGCGTGTTGTGTTAAACACTGCATCTGTTCGGCTGGTTACGGGCCCTTCGCCCCAAGGGGACCATGGCCCTGTGCCCTCCCCCCCCCCCCCCCCTCTGGATCCGCCTTTGGCTGTCACTGGTGCTGACAAACGTGCGAACAACAGATTTAACGCAACCGTACACGCGCCACGCGCAGGCTCTCCCATAAGTTGGGTTCCCATATTTTTTTGTGTAGGATGGTAACGTCGCTAGTGTATAGACCTAAATGGGCCGCGGTCGCTAGCCGTGGGGTGTAACGCTGCGAGACATCCGGGACATCGGAATTCTTGTACAGTTAACGGACAAACTGTTAGCGGGAGGTGTATATAACCAACGAACCATTAACACAAAATTCAGTGATGAGCGTTGTGATGGGAAATCTTCATCTGGTGCGCGTCGGAAGCGGCGAAGTGGGCGCAATGGGAGAGGAACGCCGCGAACGTTTTGCTGGAGCAGTGTCGGGACGGTGAGGGGCGCGTAGCTTGGAGGACAGGGTTCTTAACTATGTACGCTGTTGGAGGACAGTACAAATGGCGTGCTGTGTGGCTCAAATACATAACTTTCTGACGTCCGCTAGCTGCATCTCACAAGCATGATGGCTCACATGGCTCACATCTCACATCCCATGGCATCTCACTTGGCCCCCGACAAGGGTGGTGCCAAGGGACCCGGCAGGGAGGCGAGCGCAAAGGAAAGATTAAAGAAGAGCGATTCTGGGCCGCCGGCGGCGGTGGCGGCGACGGAGGCTGCGGATGTTACTGACCATTGCCGCACGGCCGAGCTGCTGTTGTGCCTCTCGGCCGTGCGGTGTGTACTGGGCCAAATGCGGGCCTCGACACGACGCCCTGATATGTAACAACTGGGTCTTCCTGTACAAGGCGGTCATGCTGTACAAGGCGGTCTGTACAAGGCGGTCATGCTGTACAAGGCGGTCTGTACAAGGCGGTCTGTACAAGGCGGTCTGTACCGCCGTGCTGTACAAGTCGGTCATGCTGCTCGTCACATTCCCAATCATCAACCTGCAAATCGTTCGCTTTGTCGACAGCTGCCTGGCTAAAGCACTCGCGGCACATTGGACCGGTGTCCATGCTTGAAATTCTATTTTCAGTCTGGGGCAGAGCTATTTGCCAAGGCGTCCAGACTCCCTCATCGCAAAGATGACGAGAGCTTCACGACATCGATGACCATTGGCTGGTTTAACTTTAATAACTGTTATCCATGATCCAGTCTCACGTAGGCCCGCGAGCTGCTCATGAGACTTGGTGCACATGACGGTCTGCGTTTACATCTTGGCGGCCGATGAGTGGCCGTGGCCAAACAAACTGTGCTCAGGGGTGGAATAAATAAGATTATTGGAGCACACTGCTACTAGATTGAAATAAACATATTAATCAGTTGTGCAGTTAATGTTGTTTCGACTCAAGTATCACATACAAATCGTCCTCTTTACCTCGGTTTGACGATCAATAATTTTCTCGCATGTCAATTTAACGTTAAACATAACAACGCACATAAACGTCTCAAAAACGCAACATGTGTGGCTCGACACTCAGACTACGCAGACAGTCAGGTGCCGTGCCGTCAGGTGACTACGCAGACAGTCAGGTGCCGTGCCGTCAGGTGACTACGCAGACAGGTCAGGTGACGTGCGTCAGGGGAACTAACGCAGACAGTCAGGTGCCGTGCCGTCAGGGGACTACGCAGACAGTCAGGTGCCGTGCCGTCAGGGGACTACGCAGACAGTCAGGTGCCGTGCCGTCAGGGGACTACGCAGACAGTCAGGTGCCGTGCCGTCAGGGGACTACGCAGACAGTCAGGGTGCCTGCCGTCAGGGGACTACGCAGACAGTCAGGGTGCCGTGCCGTCAGGGGACTACGCAGACAGTCAGGTGCCGTGCCGTCGGGGACTACGCAGACAGTCAGGTGCCGTGCCGTCAGGGGACTACGCAGACAGTCAGGTGCCGTGCCGTCAGGGGACTACGCAGACAGTCAGGTGCCGAGCACTGTCGACCCCGCGCACAGGTACGACTACGGACCGATCACAGCCGGCCTCGCAGACAGATGCAGACCGAGCACGCCTGAGTGTAGTAAGGTGCGGATCGAGCACGGCCGGCCCCGTACACAGGTAAAGACCGAGGACGGCGTAATGTAGATAAGTACAGGCCGAACATGACACATCTGGCGGGCTCTTCGAGCATCAAAGACAACAAAATTAAGTGCAGCAGCCCAGACTCACCACGCTCACCACTCGCTCGCATCGCCCGCGGCGGCATGCCCACGCCCAGGATGCGAGGCCATGTAAGACCGAAATGCATTGTTATGGCTTGCCGCTTAACGCTGCCACGTACGTCATCATGCTCAACGCCAATTTCCATGCATTTAAAAACGTTGTTCATGTACATTTGCCATTACCATTAGGTTCGTTATCGGAACACAATGTTCTGGCCGCCATATTGCGAATCAGTATCATGTACGCTTCTTCATTTTTCAGGTCATTGTATGTTAATGGTTTACCGCATATGCTTGCAAAGGAAATCATCATGTGTGTCGTAAGATTATGCTGTCTTTTTCATCACCTGAACGAATATTTTGATGTGCCGGGCTGCTAGCTGCCCCTCAATAGTATGCCGGCTTAAATAGTATGCTTAACCTTATAGTTAAGCATACTATTAAGCATACTATATTAAATAGTATGCTTAACTCAATAGTATGCTTAACCATCCGCAGCGTGTTAAAGTCTTGGCCCCAGTGACGTCATTCTTACGTTGAGTCAGGATACGACGACAATAACGGACGTTTCCACCCATGTTATACGGCCTTGATCTTGAGTGCAATATCGCACTCGCGGGGTACGTGCGCGGTTTCCGCACATGTAAGTGGGATAGTTTATTTCGGATGAGATCGATGGATATGACGTGCATTTGCGTTTGAGTTTGTGCAATTTTTGTCCAAGTTGGTATTGCAGTGGTGGGGAAATAGGGGTGCTTGGCCATGGTTTGCGGCAGTAATGAGCGCCACAATTGTAGTAATTATCTCGCAGGCGGCGACAGCCACATAGTACTTATGGAATGCATAGCAATAGGCATGGGTAAATTGGTATTATGTTTACAGCTTGGTTTAAATATGTGGCTTGGCCACCCCTTAGACCTGTATTTTCATTTTCATCATAAGTCACTCCTGACAGGTAGTCTAAAGGACATTGGGCCTGTTCCTGCCACTCCTCTACCCTCCTCAAACCTGTGTTGAGCAAATCTGATAGTTCTTGTGTCCCATCCAACATCCTCTGAGCTCCTAAAAGCTTGCTGCTAGCCTGCGCCAACCTTCACCAAAATGGAAGGTGGTTTTCAGAGTAGTTTGAAAGAGGCTGTGTTAGGCATGAATAACACAGCCTATTCCTGTCTTATCCATTACCTTACCTTACCTTGCCTTACACTCTAGGATTTATAAAAAACTGAAGCCTTTAGGTCCTGTGCTTGACAGATTCATGTCATTTCTAGCTAAGCTTGGTCTTGGATTAGCACATGGTACATTTGCAGGCCCTGTGATAATCAAGCCTGGACTGAGAGATTGAGATTGTTTTCTATAAGGGCAGGAAACAAAGAAGATTCAACTAAGCTTGGAGCCAAGGTCAATACCCAAGCACCAGTGGTAGTGTAAGTCACCAGCAAAAACCAGGCCAGTGCAGGTGAACAAAATTCAACATTACCTGAATAAAATAATGAACTGGGCTTCTCTGTGGTAGATGTCAGTCAATCATGGTAGGCATAAGGTGATACATTGTGGTAGTTTTAGCAGAGAAAGCATTATCTATAAAATGGGAGGTGAGTAGTTATACCAGATCAGGTCAGAAAAGGGCTTGGGGGTTACAGTTTCTAAGGATTTAAAGAGTGGAAAACAAAGTGGGCCTGCTAGGGGCAGGACAGTTTGGATGCTGTTGTTCATTTAGGAGAATGTCCATCATCTTTGTTGGTTCACATATGTTGGTTGGTTGGTTGTTGGCTGGTTCAATGAACACCTTGAGCGCGATGACTGACGTCTCTCGATGAGTTGAAACGGTACATGTAAGTTGTAGGATGGCAGTTGCACACAACTCGTTGAGCAACACCTTAGCATCATAAGAATGTTTTGTGACAAAGTCATCAGACAGTAACAAATTCAGAAACATATTTACCAAAAAGAGACATTTTGTGGTCTAGAGCAGGGTTGTCCACTTAATTCCACCAGTTACACTCACTTCTTCCACTAGTTGTCTAGAGCAGTCTTAACCAATATTATATCTGGGCTTTTTTCATCATACCTGATGCCCACTTTTATATCTTCAAATCCGGACCATTTCCTTAAAGAAGCTTTCAGAATCTGGATGGTTCCATTTTTACCATTTGACTGCATCCTTAATAAAGCTTGGAAACTGTTTCTTCTCAAACTCAACTACCTATAGATAAATGTTTCCCCATGGTTTGTATTTGAACAGCTAAGGTTGCACCATCTAAATGCTGACATGACAGGAAATCAAACAAGCATCAAGGATCAAATGAAGGTTCATCCCTGGAAATGAGACCAAACCACGGTTTTTGCAACACAACTGTTGCGTTTAAATTATGGGCTCAAAAGTAACAAAAAATACCATAATGTGCAGGTTTTCTGTTGTTATAGGCTAGCTCCATAATGCTTGTCTGTAGGTAGATTTTGGCAGTTTTGTTGGCTTTTGAGTTTGTTATTGCTGTGTTCTTGATGATCTTGTACTTCTCACTTATGGAAGAGTCTGTTTAGGACTGTGACTAGAGTAGAGACAAACTTGTGTGTGGTAACAGATGATAAAAGATGAGGCAAGTTTTTGCTTGCTTTTAGAGCATCACGTTTCTACCAACAGCAACCAAACCAGCAAGAAGCAAGATTGCACAGAAACACTTATTTGTCCTGCCTTGGCAGGCACCTCCAGATCTTCCAGAAAGAAGTCACCTTCATGCACGGCCTTTGCTGTGGTTGTTGTGACTGTATGGGAGCTAGCCGGCGACATGGCGCCGCCCCTTGCTGACTGGCTGCCGGCTGCCGCAGGGTGGGCGGTGCGCCGTGCCTGACCATGGACGCGGCGTCGGACGTGAGCAGCGGCAGCGGCGCCGACAGCACGGCCGACGACCAGGCCGTCTGCCGCGACTACCTGCGCAACGTTTGCCGCCGCGGCCGGCGCTGCAAGTTCCCGCACCCGGCCGGTGCCGACGACGAGCTGGCCGTGGCGCCGGTGCGGCCCGAGCTCGTCACGTTCTGCCACGACTTCCAGAACGGCCAGTGCGCGCGGCCCAGCTGCCGCTTCGTGCACTGTGAGCGCGGCGACGAGGAGCTGTTCCGCCGCACTGGCGAGCTGCCGACCCAGGTGCTCGAGGCGGCCGTCAAGCGCGGTGCCGACATCCGCGTCGGCCGGCACGAGGTGCCCGTGTGCAAGGACTTCGCGCGCGGCGAGTGCGCGCGCGGCGCCAAGTGCAAGTACCGTCACCTGACGTTGGCGGAGCTGGAGCAGCTGTGCGGCGGTGGGCGGATGGCCGAGGCGGCCGCCGACGGCGCCGAGTCGTGCGAGCCGCCTGAGGCCAAGCGGCGACATTTTGACGACTACTCGCACCGCGGAGTGGTGGTCCGGGACTACCGGCAGGCGCCGCTCTCGCGCGAGCCCAACCCGCACTCCATCATTGACTACCGGCTGATCGAGGACGAGAACCGTATCCTGCAGCGGCGCATCCAGGAGCTGCAGAAGCAGGTACGGCTGTGGCCAGTTCGCCGCGAAAACGTCGCCGAGCTGGGAAGCGGCGATGCTTTACATGCATGCAGGCCTTAGGATGACAGCTGAACTATGTGTGGGTGGCGGTTACTGACGAGAAGTTAGGGTACGCCTCTATCCAAGAACAAAGTCACGGGGCTTGATGGTTTTCTGTCGCCGCATTACTGAATGAAGGTGTTGATGACATGATGGGCTCAAATTCGTATGAGTTAATGGCCTTTAATTAACCAGGAGGTACTGGTTGAAAGACGTTGTGCTAAAAAGCGATTGCACTGACGGTACCAATATTTCGAGCTGTGCCCATCTTCAATGATCATGCTTAAAGGCCACAGCCACCATTAATATAATCGTTGCGTAGCACTATAACGTGTACTAAGCAGCTCCTTCTGTTTTTTCTAAAGTTGCTTACTCAACATAAGAACGTGGAAGCCATAATGCTGAAAAAAAAACAGGAGCCAAAAGCCTTTCGTTTTATATTGTGTTCATAACATGTGCTGGTCAAACCTCCCATGCGACATGAAACGGGCTTCAGTCGTTTTCGGCATGCCTCTTATGGTCTCAAATGCGCAGTACGGTACCGTGCCTGAAAGTCGTGGCTATCCCGGCGTCACCGCCGCAGGCGTTTTCCGAGTTATTATCAGCGAGACAGGCCCGGTTATGGTCATGAGATGGTCTGCTTCTGGACGAGACACAACGCTGAGTGAGCCCAGAGCCTGGCACCTCAAAACCGTTCTCTGAGAAGCAATCAGTATCAGTGTCATGTCGTTGTATTTAATTAACGGGCGCCAGTTACGTGGCGTTTCGATCTTGCGCCACACGTGGTATGCCTTTTTTATGTGGTCATGCTGTAAGCGTAACAACCACGATGTACGCCGAGCACCTCACTGTACACTGTTATTTCTGGACGCTCCAGCCAGCTGCACATATGGCGGCTGTGCGGGACGCTCGCCGTATAGCCGTATTGTCGCTGGCTCTTCTGAGGCTGTTGGCCAGCACGACCGCTGGCTGGCGGCGCCACTGACGGGCGTGCCTGCCGCTGCTCAGGTGGACGACCTCACCACCACCAACGAGTTCCTGCTGGACCAGAACGCGCAGATGCGGCTGGCCAAGCAGGCGGGCGGCGGCGTGACCAGCCTGGCCACCGTCACCGTGCCGGCCGTGTCCATGGCCAGCTCGATGACCAACGGCGGCGTGCCCACGGCGCCGCTGACCATGTGCCCCATCAGCCAGCCGATGGTGGCGCAGGGCGCCGCGCCCCAGGTGGTCACCGTGCCGTGCAGCATGGGCGCCGGGCCCGTCACGCTGACGCACACGCCCGGCTCCACGGCCGCCATCGGCGTCAGCCTGGCGCCCGTCACGATCCACCAGCAGGGCGCCGTCGTCTCCATGGCGTCCATGGCGTCCATCAACCAGGCGGCCGTGGCCTCCATGGCGAACATGAACCCCATGGCGGCGGCGTCCATGGCGTCCATCAACCAGCCGGTGGCAGTGTCAATGGCATCCATGGCGTCCATCAACCAGGCCGCCGTGGCCTCCATGGCGAATATGAACCCCATGGCGGCGGCGTCCATGGCATCCATCAACCAGCCGGTAGCAGCTTCCATGGCGTCAATGGCCTCCATCAACCAGGCGGCTGCCGCCTCCATGGCTTCCATGAATAATATGGCGGCGGCCTCTATGGCCTCTATCAACCAGCCGGGTGCGGCGTCGTTGACGTCTATGAACCCGATGGCGGCTGCATCAATGGCCTCCATCAACCAGCCAGTGGCGGTGGCGTCCATGGCCTCCATTAACACGGCCGCCGCCGCCGCTGCAGCTCAGGTCAGTCTGAGGACTAGGTCACAGGTACTGGCAATAGTTTTGCGTTCTCTTGTTGCGTTTGTTGTCGTGTTCTGCTGCAATAGCTGCACGCTGTCATGATTTGCGGTGGGTTTGAAAGCGTACTGACGTTTCAGAGTTGCGCGTCCTTGCTCTACGTTTCAGAGTTGCGCGTCCTTGCTCTGTAATACGAGCCAGTGTCATGCGAGGCGCGCAGCCCACGGACAAAGCAGTTGACAACGGTAAAGAAGGCTGGAATCCCTGCGGACTTTTCTGGACCGGCTTGGAACGTCTCCCTAAAGTGTCCATGCGTGCGTCTTTAAGCCGCTGCATTCGACGCTATAGAGCGGCGTTTGCGACCACGGGCAGGCATGAGTCGCAAAACAATGCTGAACTCGGTACAATAAGTCAGGTTTGAAGACATACCGGGGGGCGGACGTTTTGTCGGACATAGCTTGTCCCCCAAAATGGCCGCTCGTCCCATGTCTTGGGACCAGAATTTGCAAACACCTCATTGTCTTCTGACCAGACCTCCGAGCCAGCCCAGCGGTGCGTGTAAACTGTGGTGCGTTTCGTCTTCAGGTGAACGCGCAGGTGGCGTGCTCGCTGAGTGGCGGCCCGATCGTCTCCTACCCGATCGTGTCGCAGTTGCGGCCGATCCTGTCGTCCAACCTGCAGACGCAGTAGCCGCCTGACGGTGCGGCGCGGCGCGGCGCGGAGCTCCAGCCCGGCCGTCCGCTGCCGGCGCCCGGACCGCGCGCGGCCGAGCGCGGACGCGCTCACCGACGGGGACCGCCAGTGACGGGGCCAGGGGTGTCGCGGTGTGTACTGTCAGGAGAGCCTGAGCCCCCCCCCCCCATGCTGACTTAGCCCCCCCCCCTCCCCACCGCTCCCGTGAACCCCTCAATGCGTTTGAGCAAAAAGGTAATATTGAATTGGAGAAACGGAGACAATTTATCTTAATTATTGGGGTTTAGTTACTAAGATGATTTCTGTGAATTCACCCATTGTAAGCTTTCACAAAAATACAGTCTCGCATCGACTTGAAATGTTACGGCATTCACGTGCAGACAAAATGAAATCAACGATCTTGAATCGATGAATTTAATGAATCAATGATCAATGAATTTAAACACCAAGGAGGCAGATAAATTGGCAAATCCGAGGAAAAATCCGGTTTTGGTGGTAGGTTGGGCCAACATTGTCGGCCCAGCCTGGGGTCGCTTTCTAAAATTAGTGGGGCGGGGACTCAGTCGAATAGGTTGACCTAGCCCATCTCCAAAGGCTGATTTCTCCCCGGATGTCGCCACTTCAAGTTGCGTCTTCAATGTTGAAATTTAACACAAACATTTTTAATAGCTCAGGGATTCAAAATTGTTTTCCTACGAGGCACTGACTTCCCATTTCAGGTTTATGTCAGCTGCCTTTTGATGACAAGCTTAGAATGGGATGCGATTCACACAAAAACGAACAACGAACAAAATCAAGAAAGGTTCCTTCGGTCTAGTATACCAACAGTCAATATAATTGTTCTGGACGTATTTCGCCCAGCGTTCCCTCGTTGCTCGGTATGCATTGAGGGGACTCAGAGGGGCGTTGGGCGGTGGATCAAGTCAGGATGGGGGGGGGGGGGGCTGAGCCCCGGACAGTATATATTGATTTCCATGGGCTCAGACCCAACCAGTTTTAGAACATGGCACCCCTGAACAGGACGCACGCCGCCGCTGGCCGACATGAATGGCGTACGTGCTGTTGTGCACGGTCGGTGATATGACGTAACGGTACTGTGCTGCCTCGTGCTGCGCGCTGGTGGTATGTGAATCGTTGCCTATTCTGTCAGGTGTTTGTTTAATTGTTAAAATACCTGCCACAGTCGTCCAGACTGGTAAAAGCACACTAGGCCGTACTGAGAACCGGGTTTGGGGTAGATTTCGCCAAAGCGTTTTGTTCAAGGTCAGCTACGTTTTGTTCAGATGTTTTGTACCTATTCTTGTCTTAGTGATCGTTTGCCAAGCAGTTGACATGAGATTCGATTCTCCGTGGCGTCCGCTTTTCTCGCCAGGGTGGGAGTCAGGCAACACCATATAGCCTCAGCAAGTGAGTGGGTGAAGTCCCCAACGGCACGTTTTTCAAGGTCTTGCGGAAAGATACGTGTCTTAGGCAAGCGGTCTGGTATTGAATTGTTCCTGAAGCAGATCTGATACCATTGCATAACCTTTTGACAGGATAAAACGGCCGAAAAAGGCGAACTGATATCGATTTCGGTGCAGGACGCATGGTGTGTGAAATATTATTCAGTATAAAGGCTTTAGGAAAGGAAATGTTTCTGGTGTCCGAAAACTTGCTGCTCGATGTTCAGACGAATGCAACGCTGTCGTATAGCAAGGACCTCACATAATTATATCACAAATGGGGAGGAGCATTGTCGCGGTCAAGAGAGCAGACAAATGTCGGTGGTTTTGTACAGTATATTCAGCAGTGGGCGTGGATATGTTCCCACGCGGCTTGCTGCGGCACCTGACAGTGTTCTCTGTGCATATTTATACTTTGTACATTATTTGTCTGGTGGCATTTGTGGCTGACATGTGAGTGTGCGGGCAAAGTTGAGTTGCCGGAACCTGAGAAGGCGAATTTCTGCACGGATGAACGTGCAGTACGGAAGTACTGAGGATCTGGAAGCGCATCCCATGCATGTTTGTCAAATGAAAAATATACGACTGCACACTCCAAATATTGTTGCATTCTCCCCAGACGCCGTCAACGGCATACACATACGGCAGACGCTGTATCAGCGGCGGCAGAAGCCCTTCGGAGTTTAGGTGGATAGGAAGCAAGGGATTTTTGTCCTGTATCCTGTCAGCGTACTCACGCAACTTCCTAAAAGTTGCAGCGATGTGCCGAAACCACATCCTGACTCGTCGGTCCTTTCACCACCACAAATGATGAGTTCATCGCAGTCTGGGCGGCTGTGGTAGTTACTGGCAGTTGCCGCGCTCATTTGTGACGTCATTTACGCCAGAGCTACCATATTCAAGAAGTAAAGGGGGCCTGTGTATCTCTTTCCTTGAATGTCACTTTTGTTTTCGTTGTATTCGTGGTATTCGGAGCGTCGTTGCGTTTGTGTGGTGATTGGGCACGTAGGCACTGTGTCGTTGATATGTGCGTCAAGGCGTATCTAAGGATTACAAGGGATTGTTTTCCCTGTATTATTTAGGTTTTTAATCAAGTGGCTCATTTTCTTTGGAGGTAAGGACACCCGTATCTGGCTGATTGCCAGTGGGAAAGTATGGCGCGTAAAACGTCCAATCATCCTATGCAAGTTCAAATCAGGCTGGGTTAAGTTTAAAACGGAGACGAAACGCGACTGATGCCGACTGAATACATTGTATTCCAGCGCTTGTTTTGAGGTATTTTTCACAAGTGTTACTGGGGGCATTTACTTGTGACATTCTAAAATATGTACAACAATCGTTATTTATACATATGTCGCAAATTGTATTTTGTGCAAAATTTCACCAGTATTTTTTATGTATTTTTACTTTGGATTGTAATGCATGTTGTATGAGTACATTCATCTCATACATCCCAGGAGAAAATTCCTTTTCAGTTGGCATATGCTTACGTTGAAAAGGATAAGCACATTTTTGCTTATTCCCAGCTGTTTTATTATCATAGCTCTATTTTTATCCCGCAACCTTTGATGTACTTAAGATATGCTGTAAGTAAGTGCATGATACATATTTTGATCTATGCCCATATTTACTATATATTAACTGTGGTGAAATGTCAAGTAAACAACAAGTCAAATACTGGTCTTTCAGCTCATTTTGTTTCCACTCAGTGCCAAATAAAAGCTCAGTATGGTGAAGAAAGATTGTGGTGTTCTGAAAACTGTTGAAACAAGTATGCTGATATTATCAACCAGAACATACTTGATCAATGGAAGGCAAGTGTTTGGTTTAGTATCTGACAGACCTTTTTCAATATGTTGCACTCCTTTTCAGTACACTATAGAAGAAAATGGTAGCATGTATGCTAAGTGGATTGTGTCATCCAGTTCAGATGCATAGTGATGAACTATGCACAGATGTGCTGTTCTTGATCATGTCCTATTGCCAGTTCCTCATTAACCATCCTTCAGTTTAGCAAGCTTACTTCATTGGCCCATCCTATTTGGTGTTCAATCTCTTAGATGTGGCAGAGTCATGCACGCATTCATGCTATTGAGAGCCACATATCCTGGGTATGTCAGGCTAGTATAATGTGATAGAAGAGTGGAATATTTATCATGCAGCATGTCACCCATTACAGGGTGAGCTTGCCTTGTAGAACACATTCCTTCAAATATTCAAGTTAAGGTACAGTCTACAAGCAGGCTTTTTCCTAATGCCCATGTGGAGCATGACATTGAAAGGACATTATCCCCTTCTCTTCAACATTGCAAGCTGTGCAGTTTGGTCATTAACATGGTCATGTTCAAACAGGTGATCCACTGATCTGTGAGAGAGCAGATGATTACAGCATTGTAATGCCACCTTATGATTGTGGTTTTGCCTGAACAAATGTGTAGGAGAGGTGTTGCATTTGCTGTAAGAGGTTGTTAGGTAAATATGTTAGTTCACAGCAGATGCCATGAGTCAGAAATTAGCAGCAGCCTGAGAGTTGGGATGATCAGAATACTACTGGTTTGCCTTGCTAGCTTATTGTTTCATTCACCTTTGTGAGACTGATTTTAGATCTCATGTATCCCATGCAAGTACAAAGGGCATGGGAAAGAGCAACAGTGGGATATGAGGATCTAGAGTGGATGTCAGTTTCTAAAGAACAGGCATGAAACAATGATGGATGATAGTGTTAGGGGATGTGTCAGTCACCAAGATTTATCTGATATTTTTTAATATGACCATGAGACTTATACTCTTAACCAACATAAACAACCCAGTCTTTGTGTGTCTTGAGAAATATGCCAGGCAGCCCAGTGCTGTGCAACAATGGCTGATGTGCGATGGGCTGTAAACAGTGTTCCAGGCAGCGTTAGCATTTCAGCGAGTTGACATTAGTTTCTGTCACTTTTTCACCAAATGTTTCCCTTTGGTCAAAGCAGCAAAAATAACATGTTGGTAAAGCAGCATGATCAAAATATGAAGCCTTTCTGCTGGTTTTGGTGCACTGATTAGTACCTAAACTTGTACCAGAAGGTTGCTGTATATGGCTAGCATAATGTAAAACTGCCATTTTTAAAACAAGCTGCAGTATATTGTTGCTCAGTCAAAGTATGGGACATTATCCTGTATTTCCTAGAACTATAACATGCTATACAGACATGAAAGAAAATGGACACATTTAGGTCTGTTTCAAGTCAACAGGCATTAACTGATGCTTTCAGTTTTATACATTAGTGTATGGAAATGTCTTAGTACAGACTGATGCTGCAGCATGCTGTTATGATTTGCATATGGCTTTGATACAAGACTTTCCAAGCCCACAGGGAGACTGCTATGAAAGTCTAATTACACATATTACCCCATGTTTTCCAATGGCATCAAAGGGCAGTCAACTGGATCATGGGCTCTTCTGGATGGTGAAAGTAAAAAATTTGCATTTTTCATGTGCTGTCGTGGAAAATCAGTTTTTCTGCCACAAAGCAATATGCTTGATCCTCACTGGCATGTCACAGTACTTTTGCTCAAATGATGAAGCATTCCATAATCAAAACTTGCTTTGCCAATTAGTGGCCAACACAGAACAGTCAGCCTGATAATGTGTCTGGTTGTTACAAGTCAGAAACTGAAGTTGTGTGCTAAAGCAAACATTGTAATTGATTGACAATGGCAGCACTCCATTTGTGGTCTTAAATGGTGTAGAAACGAGTGACAGGTTCTGTTTGTTTTAGTGCCGGTGTCTGCTGGTTTGTTTGCCTGCTTTGGGTTAAAGTTGCCATTAAATGCCCAGTCTTGGAGTTCCATCCCTGACCATCCTGTTTCAACCATGCTTGCAATTAAGTTAAACCATATCGCAAGACCACATGAGATTTTTTGTGTTGTTTTAGTGGTGCAAATGACAGTTTGTTCCATGCATCTTCCTTGCAATTTATAATATCTTGAATTTTTGCAGGCCAGCCCTTGTTTGTACTGTTGCATCTGGGATCACATGCTCCAAACACACAGCTTCCTTGAACCATATTAGCTACACAACCATCTGGCACCCACCACCCACTCACAGGCAAGGCCCGGCAGACCCGGCCCGGTCACTACATTGGCACACCTGCCGTGGGGCTGTGTGTGGTGCCCACTGTGTTACCCACCAGATTTGCCAGGCGGGAGGGAGTGCAGACCAAGTATGGGGGGGGGGGGGGGAGGAGCATTCCTTTAGGTGTTCTTAAACACTTACAATAGTTTTACCAATGCGTAATGTGCCATGATAACACTACCAACATTTAACAATAAAGTTGATTTTGCTACTTTGTTCTATGTCAATGGCCTACAGCCTGTTTTGTGGCACTTCAGTTTCTGTCAGTTATTGCCACCTGTAGCTTCTGTCAACCAGTTTGAACCAGTAAAAACTGCTGGCAGAAGTTGTTTCAGCCAGCTGCTGCTAGTTCTGGTTTTAGATGCAGAATTGTAAGAAGCATTGCCACACAACTTATTATGTTAAAACCCACAGCCAGGAGATATGAACACAGAGGAGTTAATTAACATCTCACTGGGAGCCATCTAATGCAACATGGAAGTTCCTGGAAAACAATTTTGTGACAGTGAAAACAATGTGAAAGCAAAGTGGCTGCAATGAACACATAAGTCAAGGTTATCAGCAAGGCTGTACCATGAAAAAGATTGCAGTTCAGCCTTTTCAGGACAAGGAGATGTTAATTACAACACACTCTACAAGGAAATGATTGGGGGTGTATTAGATGTTTGTAACAATGCCTTGGCATGCCTGTTCTCACAAGGAGGACTAGGGTATGCTTACCTTCAACAAGGTTTCTTGCATTCCTGCTTTGAACACACTAGCCTGAAGCACTGGATGCAGTTGTTTGTGCTGTCAACACCCACTTTTTCCTTGTGCGATGCATCCATCAAACAGCCACGCCACGAGGACAGGTTTACTTCTATAATAATTGTACCCTGGAAGGATCAGATGATAAAACAGAGTACCCAACCAGATGCAGTGTCATTTAGCTCAGCTAGTGCAGGGATGTTTTGGCAGGAATCCTGTGGCCACTTCCATGAAATGACGGTTTGTCTCCATCAACCTGTCAGTTTGGACCTGTCAAGGTGCCAGCATTGGCAGGTATTCTTAAAAATATCACTAGTTTGCTGCTTAAGTTTTGGTGTGTTTACTATTTTGTTTATGCAATTAATGGCTAATGGTCTGGTATCATTTGTGGTCTTATGGAATGATTTCCATGAGTTATTTGGTGAATGTGTAAAGCAAAGTGTTGTGCTCAATTGCATGCATGCTGCTCTTGCATTGCAGTTGGGTTACAGGCATTTGTATTCAGTATTGAGCACACAGTAGCGTAAAACCTGTCCAGTTGGGTGTGGAAGATGTAAATGTGAATTCATGGCACCAGACTTTTCACTCCCAAGCAACCCCTGCTCGCACTTTCCCCCAGCTGCTAATCCACTGCCCTTTGACCCTGAACCCTGACACCCGACCTGCACAGCTGCTTTGTCGAGCCCGAGGCTATGAGATGCTGTGTCGGCTGCTCAGGGGCTCGGTGACGTTTTTCCTATCCTGGACAAGCAAAGGAGCAACAGGCACTGAAACCCAGGTCAGGTGTGCCACAGCATGACAAAAATATAGACTTCCTGTCCTCTGGCTGGTGGAACACCAACACGCTGTGTCTCGGATCTGTGTGGGTATTGACGTTGACTTCTGTTGTCCAGGAGAGTCGGGCCTGAGGCGCAGCTGGCAAGATGCCGCCATCTTCAGGGGAACTATGGGGCTACAGCTTCATGCCAGCCAACAGTACAGTGTACTGTCTCTTACCAACTGGCATACTGGTACCCCTGGAGGCAAGGCGTGACAAGCCTCTGTACAAGCTGAAAGGTACGTCGTGCGTTCATGATTTTAATTCCTTGAATGTTATCATCATTGATGGGTGCCAGAGTTCCCCTTCTTTTTTACGTTTTGGCATCGCCCAGGCTTTTGTTCATGAAGCTTTTGAATATCACTTCTCGCAGAATGTATGATATGTGGCCCAAAAGCAGCCAGAGAAGTGTTGTACTGGCATTTGTGTGCAGTGCAGTCAGCCATATTGAACCGCAGCGCGCCTGACCACACCACGTGCTGACCTGACGCCCGCCCCGTGCAGATGACCTGTGGAAGCTGGCCAAGAACCAGCAGGAGTACCCATTTGGTCACCTGCTGGGGGAGCCGGGCCAGTACATCTTCCAGGGCGTGACGCAGGACGGCGTGCGCGAGGACTTCTACGACGAGACACGCCGCCTGTGTGACCTGCGCCTGCACGAGCCGTACCTGCAGGTGCGCGAGCCGCACGGCAACAAGGACGAGAAGATGTTCAACCAGTACCTCAGTGAGTCGACCGTGCTGCAGGGGCGGGCCGGCGCGGAGGACGCAGGGGCCAGGTCACCTCGAGTCAAATCACATGACCCTTAAACGTAATCTTAGAGCCTGCTTCGGTAGTGCAGGGCCGAAATGACGCAGAGTCCCAAGCTTCTGTTGTTTTGAAGATGAGTAAATGAATGGCATGTCTAATGCAGGCTCGTCATATACACCCAAGATGGTGTGTCACATTCTGTGATGCAATAGCAACAAGTCCATGTATTCAAGAAACACGGGCTCGGTTGACATGATTTGAGTTCGTCTTTGAGTTTGTCTTGCTATACATGACAAGTAAAGCTGAGGGCGTTTGTGAATTTATAAAGTAAGAAACTGACGGGAATACAGCATCCTCTTGCTGTGAATTCTAGATAACTATGCATTAAGAGCCAAATCACAAGCTTTTTCCAGAACACAACCATTGTGACTAAACATGCTCACAGGGTGATACTACGCTCTTCATGTTTTTGTTTTATGTGTCCAAATAAATCCCCAGCTGATGAGTGGTTTTAAATTTTGACACTAAATCTTCGGCTTTCATGCATACGTTCATGCAACGTTAGGATCGTCCGTTGGCCCAGTATGCAATGGAGGCACCCAGGCACATCTTGGTTGCAGTCTAAGCCATCCATGAGCGCCATATCTCTGCACTCACCAGTGGCTGAAATGTGCGCTGCGCAACGTACCATCCCTGTCACGGACACGCCTCTGAGTTCACGCGATCAGGTGGGAGGCGTCTGAGCCTGCTGCTCTCACTCGCGTACGTCAGATCTCGGGTGCTGCTTAAAAAGTGGTTAAGCTGAAGCGTCGCTGGACCAGCCTGTTGAAGCTGATGTGTCCGATCACCCGACCGCCGTCCACGGACCCAACCGAGTGGGCCGTGACTTGGCGTCCCTTGGCACTCGCTGCCTGGACTCCCGCACGCTAGCGCGCCGCCGTCCGTCCGCAGGTGCGTGCATCGGCATACAGGTGCGCGACCTGGACGAGATGCGCGAGCCGGAAGTGGTCGAGTTCCGGCTGGGCATGGTGCGGCTCTGCGAGCAGGCCATCGCGCAACGCGAGCAGAGCGACGAGACGCGCCTGCAGTTCATGCACCCGCCCGACCTCGACTCGACGCCAGAGTTGGCGCCCAACCTGCTCGACAAGCTCACCAAGAGCAGTAAGACGAGTAGGTGGCAGTCTTCGCACGGCGCCTGTCTCTCCCTGCCTCTCTCTCCGTCTCCTGTGGACGCGGTTGTGCACCCCCTCTCCACGCCGCGGCTATGTTTGGCTGTCGCTCCGCGCGGCCTGTATCGTGCTCTGTGTCGCGCGCACGTGCCCGCGCCCGTGTATCCGTTTGAGACGCGGCCGCGTGTCGCGCCCGGCGCGAGGTGCTGGCGGGTGGCGGTGAAGGCGGGTGAACACTGGGGCGGCTGGCGGGCCCCGAGTGTGGCACGGAGTTTGGGCCGTGGCTGCCAGTATTGATGCCGAGTTGGAGATGGCTGCTGCCTGTTATTGAGCGCGGGCGTAGACTGTGGATTGGGTCCGGCACATGGGAGACGTTGGCGAAGACATGAAGCGTCTTGCGTCTTGAACAGAAGTGCTGCCGGTGGACACCTGAAGCTGTACAAGCTTATATTCCTCAGTGTGTCTATGTTTCCAAGTGTGGATAAGGTGTTCCGGCTACCATTAGGAAATCGTTGTTATTGTAAAATTTTGCTTTTGTAGCGTTTTTGCGCCGCGACATAGGGACTGACTTGCGATGACGCGGTGATGGTATCGCTGATGGAACCAGTTTTTGTCGCATGTCAGTATGCATGTACTTAGGGGGTCAGTATGTCAACGTGTGGCGCCGTTTCTGCTCTATTTATGTCATCACTTGACGCCCATGGTGTCGACCGCATGGCGGTGTTTAGCCTGCACGCGTGGTGGGATCGAGTCGCCTTCTGGTGGAGTGCATATCACCATGTCGATCAGCCATTCCTGGCAAGCCCCTCGCATGAGCCCATACTGTCCTGAAATCATTTGAGCTGAAATGGAGGCCCGATCGACATACCGTGCATTCACACAAACTCATCGGGCGTTGGACGTCATGGGCAGCTTGTGCGCCTGGCGCCCTGCTGCTGCTGACCGGCCTCGGCGCCGTTTTGTGAGCGAAACGTGACTGGGGCGCCGTCGTGCTGTGCGCGGCCCCTGCTGCGCCGCGCGCGGGCCCGCTCTGACGGCGCGCCGCTCCCGCAGACGCCATCACTCTCGACGTGTTCGTGTCGGGGGTCGACATCCAGACCACGCCGCTGACCGTCAGCGGCGACCTCTACCCGGAGGGCCTGGTGGAGGAGGTGAGGCCGCGCGTCGGCCGTCCGAGGCACGGCCGCTGGCGGCGGACGAGCGGCGCCCGTCGGACTGGCTCGCGGGTGTGGTCTGGCCAGGGTGTTGGCCCTGTCCTGGGGAAGGGGGGAGGGGAAGTGGTCGGCTTTGAGATGCTCTGGACAGCGGAGATGTGTGTGTGTGCCGATACCGTAGTCAGCGGGGGTACTTCTTCAGCCCACCGTTACTGCGCTGGGATGTGCAGAAGAAGGCCGTGCGCGGAGGTCACTCAGTGATGACATGGTACAGACTATTCTGGCCAAATGTTTGAACGCGTCGTGTTGCGCCAAATGCCGGAGAGGGCCTGTCTTCTAATCACATTCCCAGCTGGGTCAAGTCTAGCGGAGGCTGCGATTGACCTGTCAGTGGCGCCGCAGCATCCCAGCGGGCGCGTCTGATCAGCCCGAGTGGGTGCAGCCATGGCAGCGGGCGCGGCTGCGCGCGGCGCTCGAGGCCTGGGCCGCCACGCCCCGCACCTCTGAGCCACCGGCCGACCTGAGCCCACGGCGGACCTGAGCCTGCCGCTGACCTGAGCCCATGGCTGACCTGAGCCCACAGCTGACTTGAGCCCATGGCTGACCTGAGCCCGCCGCTGACCTGAGCCCAAAGCTGACCTGAGCCCACAGCTGACCCGAGCCCATGGCTGACCTGAGCCCACAGCTGACCTGAGCCCATGGCTGACCTGACCCCACAGCTGACCTGAGCTCACAGCTGACCTGAGCCCACAGCTGACTTGAGCCCATGGCTGACCTGAGCCCACAGCTGACCTGAGCCCAAAGCTGACCTGAGCCCACAGCTGACCCGAGCCCATGGCTGACCTGAGCCCACAGCTGACCTGAGCCCATGGCTGACCTGACCCCACAGCTGACCTGAGCCCACAGCTGACCTGAGCCCATGGCTGACCTGAGCCCACAGCTGACGTGAGCCCACAGCCGACCTGAACCCACAGCTGACGTGAGCCCACAGCTGGCCTGAGCCCACAGCTGGCCTGAGCCCACAGCTGACCCAGTCATGCGGCTTGCAGGTGTGGCGGCGCACCTACAACCAGACGTACCGTATGACCGACTCTAAGAGCCTGCAGTCGGCGCGCGCACAGCGCGACAAGTACCTGCTCAAGGTCACTGGGAGGGAGCTCTACTTCACCGCCATGAAACCGCTCTCGCAGTACCGGGTGAGTGCCGGGCCGCCGTCTCGCTGTGTGCCGGGGTGATGTACCGCTGTGTACCGGGCCGGTGTACCGCTGTGTACCGGGCCGGTGTACCGCTGTGTACCGGGCCGGTGTGCCGCTGTGTACCGGGCCAGTGTACCGCTGTGTACCTCTGTGTACCGGGCCGGTGTGCCTCTGTGTACCGGGCCGGTGTACCGCCGTGTACCGGGCCGGTGTACCGCCGTGTACTGGGCCGGTGTACCGCTGTGTACCGCTGTGTACCGGGCCGGTGTGCCGCTGTGTACCGGGCCGGTGTACCGCTGTGTACCGGGCCGGTGTACCGCTGTGTACCGGGCCGGTGTGCCGCTGTGTACCGGGCCGGTGCACCGCTGTGTAACGGGCTGGTGTACCGTTATGTACCGGGCTGATGTACCGCCGAGTACCGAGCCGATGTGCCGCTGTGTACCGGGCCGGTGTGCCGCTGTGTACAAGGCTGGTGTACCGCTGTGCGCCGGGCCCGTGTTGAACGTCTTGTCGCGTGCGGTGACGGTCTGGCGTGTCGCTGTCTGTTCCCACGCCTTCGGGTGCTTGTCCGTGCAAGGCAGACACAGGCAACTCCAACTCACAGGGTAATCTAGATCAGGCTAGTCTAGAGTCTAGCTAATCTAGCTAATCTAGCTAACCTGGCTAATCTAGCCAATCAGGCTAATCTAGAGTGGAAATCATGATGCGGAGATTCAGGGCTAGGATACTTCCTTCCCAAGCAGTCCGTTATTTTGTATATCTCCTCGCGTGTACGGGGTCGAGTAAAAAGGAATTTGTTGCATGCTGGCATTAACGTCTTTGGGCAAAATTGGCTTTACTTAGCTTTCGTTGTTTTGTTTATCAACAACTGGCTTCACTTAATTTGTGTATCAAGTAAGTTTTGTTTTTTTTCATGCTTTTCAGGTGCATGGCTTGGCTTAAGTAACTTCAGCAAGCTTGAGTATAAAGCATATTTCATGAGCATTGAAAAACTGCAAATTTGGCCTGCCATCTGTCTCAAGAGATTTACTCCTCAGGCTGCTAATTTGCCGGTTCACAGCTGGCAGCCTTGAGATCACGTGGCAGGCCTGCATGCTTCGGGAGCATTAATCCTTTCTTTACCACTGCCTCCATCCCAAAACATTCAGCAAGGTCATGGGTGTAACTACTGGTGTGGAGGGGGGGGGGGGGGGGGGAAACGTGTGATGTGATGAAATGTGATAAAAAAGCACTAAGGGCTCGGAAAATTTTCCACCTCGCGATACGTACCAGCCAACCACTTCGCATCCTCTCATCCCGTGAAGTTAATGGCTCTTGAACAGCCTTACAGTGCCCCTGGTTTTAAAGTTCTGGATGTATATTTGCAGGATTGGAATAGAGTTAAGATTTCAAGTTTCATTAATAACTGAATGTGAATAATTGATTGAAACACTGAAAAGCATATTTTAAATCGTACGATCATTTGGGGAGTTTCATCACCACGGCCGTAATTCAAGCATTGAAGTGATTATATTAGGTACTTTTTTGGTCAGTGTTTTCCTTCCATGAACTGAAATAGGGATATGGGTATAGGTTTGTATTCCCTCAAAATCAGTTACAGATCCCGTGCTTTTTTACATATCAGTGTTAGTTCAAGACTTAAATGTAAGGATTTGATTCGGATTGGTTTTCTCCAAAAATATGTAAAATTCGGCTCAAAATCCCAACTTAAATCCCTGTATGGTAGGATTTGAATCACAAAATGTTGTGAATCCTCAGCTCTAACAAACCTTCCTAGTCCACACTGATGCATACCCCTTTGGACACAAAATGTAACGCCTCGGGATTTTAAAACCCGATGCAAATATATCTCCATGAAATTCTTCAGCAACGGATTTCTCAGTAATACAGACAAAAGCTATTTTTCCTGCGCAACGTTATACTCGGTCTCATCAAATCTAGACGAACTTCTTTTGTTTCTTGATTTCCCATCAGATAATGTTGGGCAGGGATGTCACTTTGGATATTCTCTGGGGAGGCTCAGCCCCCCCCCCCTCCCCCGCTGCCCAACGCCGACTTAAGCCCGCTCGGTGCTCATCTGGGCATCAACTCCCCACTCATAGGATATGAGCGAAGAGGGATTATTGAGTCGGTGAAATGCAGCAGGTGTCTGAGCTGCCGGCTGACTAGGTACCTAAACACGTCGCTAGCAATGTCGTCTCATCGCACATGTGTCATTATCACGATTGCATGGGCTTCCAATGCATTGTCATTCCTGGACATGAAAATGAGTTGGAAGCCGACGATTTTTTTACATCGGGGACGCAATTCAAGATGACCGAAATCCGGGGAAATAAGGATTAGGGGCGGGTTAGGTCAACTTGCCTCAGGCCTCCCCCTAACCTATCGTCGAAAGCGGCTCCTGCTGCGGGTCTAGCCGATCTGAGCGTCTATTGCCGTCTGGTGCCGAAACACCCGACGCTTCTTTGTAAAATGTGTCACGAAATCGCCAACCATGTATGCCTGTACATAAAGCACCGACCGAAACGTGTGTGCGGTGATCCCTATGCGCCCCCTCATCCTCCACCTCGCGGGTTTTAATCCCTCCACTCACCCCCGGCGTCCAGACACTGCCCATCATCATGGGGCATGGGTTCCACGCCTCATCCTTGTCCACCACATTCGGTTTCACATGAGCCGGCGAAACCGGGGCTGATGCGCAGCAGCATTGATCATTAACTGCTTTCTTAAGCAGTTTTTCCGAACAGATGGGCAATTTATTGAAGCGCCCGGCAATTTATGTCGCCGCCCAACGCCATGTTAAAGCCAACCTCGCGCCGGAGAGCCCGGAGAGTGGAGATGTCTCCGATGCCACCCCGAGAAAGCCGGAAAATGCTTGCGCAAAGCGTGGCCGAGTGTGAAGGTTCCCTCGAAATATCCCTGGGGACGTCTCCGGCCGGACGCCGGTGCCCGGAGACGCACTTGTAGACAAGGTTGGCGCGCAGCGGGCGCTTTATAAAGATTTTATCTCAACCTTTGGAATGGATGGATCTCTGGGATCAGAGCTTACGCCCAGCAGCGCTTGTGTGAGCCCTGACTCCTGCCTTCCGATCGTACCACTCCAGTTCAACGGCAGAGTTTGGTGGCGAAAGTTGAACGGGCTGCAGTGCTCAGCACGGTCCGTCCTGTCCTCTGACGTCACCTGGCCTAAAGGGCGGCCGCTGCCACTGACCGCGGGCCATCCCAGTAAAGGGCAAATGGCGAGCGCTTAAAGCAACCCGAACCCGCCCCACTACGAGTGGGTGGATCGGAAGGAAGGCGCTCTACCCAACTGGGCCAACGGGGTGGACGTATAATGTCTTGGCGAGTTAATGCATATATAATGTCTTGCAGTGAGTACACTGGAAATGAAGCTCCTTTTAGAAGGTTTTGCGATTAAAGTGTGGGTGAGGATAGTTGGAGCGTCGTGGATGGGCGTTAGGAAGAAAATCGTTTGAGATGGCTGAAATTGAAGTGAAATAAAGAAGTTACCTGACGTGTGTGTGTGTCTGGTACCTCTTGCATAATGAAGATCACGATAATATGGCCTGTACACGAAGACCCTCGTGGTTACGCCCTCCCTGGTATGAAATCCCGAATACAAATATCAGGTTTGAATTCCCCGACAAAGTGCCAATATCGGATGCTGGTAAGTCTCATGATGTTTTGAGGTCGGCCACGCATACCTTTTACTTCTTCTGAGTTATGAATATGCACTTTTTCACGATCCTACACCACGTGGCATGTAACCCCTCCCTATGTGACCTGAAACCCCTCCCTATGTGCCCTGTGACCCCTCCCTATGTGACCTGAAACCCCTCCCTATGTGACCTGTAACCCCTCGCTATGTGACCTGCAACCCCTTCCTATGTGGCCTGTTACTGCTCCCTATGTGACCTGCAACCCATTCTTATGTGACCTGTTACACCTCCGTATGTGATCTGTAACCACTCCCCATGTGACCTGTAACCACTCACTATGTGGCCTGTAACCTCTCCCTCTGTGACCTGTAACCACTCTCGGCCTGCAGTACATCCGGACGTGTATCGCCAAGGACGAGACGCCGCATCTGGCGATGATGTCGCGGCGCGCCATCTGCAAGGCCATCCCCACCAGCAACCACCTGGAGCCCATGTACGCGCGGCGCGCCGCCGCCCAGGAGGCCACCGCCGCCGTGCGCGAGCCCATCAACCTCTACAACATCAGCGACCCCTTCCTCATGACCGTGTGCGGCGTGCAGTACCTCAACGTGTCGGACGTGGACCGGGTGAGTGTCGGACGCCGGGCGTGGGGTGCGGTCCGCGGCGCGTGCTGGCCTCCGTGGCGGGAGGGCTGCTGTATGGCCGCGTCTCGCCGTGTGCCCTCAGGCCACTGTCTGCGCCGGATGCCGATGTTGGGTGGTGAGCGGCCGAGCGTCTGAGTGGGTGTGTGTTGTGCCCCACCCTCCAGCTGCCTGCGCGAAGAAATGAGCTAGTCTTTGAATGGTCATTTAAACTCATCCGATGCTCTGTGTGTACACTGATTGGTATTTCTCTTCTGGGATTGTGGCTGTTGTCGTGCGTTAACTCGCAGGGTTGCGCGCTGGTCGCCCAGGTGGATCAGTAATCCGGCGCATGCATAAGTCGTGTGTCGGCTCACCTTTCTCCCCCGTCCTCGCTGCGTCCAATTGAAGCACCGCCCACGCGGGGGCCGACGCCAACACCTTTTCTGCCCCCGCCCCGTTCCCGGATCTGCACCCGCTCCGCCCTACCCCGCCTCGCCGCTGCTCCACCTCACCCCGCCCCTGCTCCGTCCCACCCTACCCCAGCCCACCCCACCTCCGTCTCGCCCCGCCCCGCACCCCGCCCCGTCCTACCTTGCTCTGCCCTGCCTTGCCCTGCCCTACCCTGCCCTTCCCTGCCCTGCCCTGCCCTGCCCTGCCCTGCCCTGCCCTGCCCTGCCCTGCCCTGCCCTGCCCTGCCCTGCCTGACCGGGTGCGATGATGCCGCCGCAGTTTTACGTGAGCGTGGGCCTGTTTCTGGGCGCCACGGCGCTCTGCGACCTGGAGGAGACGCCGTGCGTCAGCGGCGACCGCGTGCCCCGCTGGAACACCACCATCACGTTCGAGACGCTCGTGCAGGACCTGCCGCTGTCGTCGCGCCTCTGCATGGGCGTGGTCGGCGTCTCCAAGCGGAAGAAGAAGGAGGTCAGGACGCGCGGGACAGCGCTGCTCGAGGCCGGGTTGGCCCGGGCGCGGACGGGTGGCTAAGTGGAGCGGCGAGATGGCCTGCCTTTGACCGAGGGGGGTCACTGATGACCCGGTGGTACTATGGCCGCACGAGCAGCTGGTACTCGTGTCTGAGGGTGTAGTTTGTGGGTGTATGTGTTTTATGCTGGTGCCTGATGTTCAAGCGAATGATGCCATCCCATTCTGTGGGGTAGCTGCTGCTGGGGCCGTTTGCTTGTTCCATGCCTGTCCGTTTCCTGCTGACACGTTACGCCCTGCCGCAGGAGCAATTCACGCTCGGATGGTGTAACCTGGCGCTGTTTGACTACCGGCGGCAGCTGCTGTCGGGCAAGAAAAAACTCCAGCTGTGGCCCGTGCCCAAGGGCCAGAACGAGAAGCTGTTTCCGCTGGAGGCCGTCGGTGAGCGCTGTGTGAGCGGTGTCGCATGACACAGAACAGGCCAGCGCCCGTAAGACGAGGCCATCCGAGTCGAGATGGCGGCTGCCCCGTCCCTGACCAATATTCCGGCACTATCACGCGTCCTCACCGGGCGATCCGTGATGTGACATTTCGTCGTCAGTCTGACGTGCAGGAACAGGCGCCCTGCGTGTCTGTCGGGGATGACGCGGCGAGTGACGTCGGTCAGCTCTGGGCGACCTTTCACGGCTCTGTTTCTTCCGTTGACTGCATTCACGCCAGCGGCACAATGGCGCCCTGACGTTCGGCACGCTTCCGCCCCGCCGCCGTGTCGTGCTCCGTCGCCCGCCACGCCGGCCTCAACGCGTGACCGCGCCGCCGGTGCCGCGCAGGCCCGAACCCCGTGCAGGACTCGAACGCCGCCTGGCTGGAGGTGGAGCTGCCCACTTACCCGAAGCCGGTGGAGTTCCCCGCCGACGAGTGCGTGCACGAGCTGGGCGCGCTGGCCGACGCGCCCTCGCCGGCCGAACAGAAGGTGGGTCGCCGGCAGAGCGGGCTGCCAGCTCGCTGGCTTGGCGCGCGCGCGCACGGCTCAGGCGGCCGCTGCGGCGCGCAGCGCGTCGCCTCGTTCGGGCGGGACCGCGCCGCGGCGGCCACGCCGACGGTGGAGGTGTCGCGGCTGATCTCGTGTTCCTCACTGACCGTATCCTGACAACGCCTCCGGCCGCGCGGCAGATCACGGTGGAGGTGCCACAGCGTGTCCCGTGTCCTCCCCCTGACTGTATCCTGACACCGCCTCCGGCCGCGCGGCAGATCACGGTGGGGGTGTCACAGCGTGTCCCGTGTCCTCCCCCTGACTGTATCCTGACACCGCCTCCGGCCGCGCGGCAGATCACGGTGGAGGTGCCACAGCGTGTCCCGTGTCCTCCCCCTGACTGTATCCTGACACCGCCTCCGGCCGCGCGGCAGATCACGGTGGAGGTGCCACAGCGTGTCCCGTGTCCTCCCCCTGACTGTATCCTGACACCGCCTCCGGCCGCGCGGCAGATCACGGTGGAGGTGTCACAGCGTGTCCCGTGTCCTCCCCCTGACTGTATCCTGACACCGCCGCCGGCCGCGCGGCAGATCACGGTGGAGGTGCCACAGCGTGTCCCGTGTCCTCCCCCTGACTGTATCCTGACACCGCCTCCGGCCGCGCGGCAGATCACGGTGGAGGTGCCACAGCGTGTCCCGTGTCCTCCCCCTGACTGTATCCTGACACCGCCTCCGGCCGCGCGGCAGATCACGGTGGAGGTGCCACAGCGTGTCCCGTGTCCTCCCCCTGACTGTATCCTGACACCGCCTCTGGCCGCGCGGCAGATCACGGTGGAGGTGTCGCAGCGGATCCGCGAGGTGGCCTGCCGGGACCCGCTCTCCGACATCACGGTGCAGGACGCCGGCCTGCTCTGGACGTACCGGCGCTACTGCCGCGCCCACATGCCGCACGCCGTGCCGAAGCTGCTCGACGCCGTCAAGTGGGACTCGCGCAAGGACGTGGCCCAGGTGAGGTTGACGGGGCCGAGAGGCCGGGGCGCCGTCGCAGGACGGGCAGAGCGGTGGTTGCAGGCTTAGCAGCCGAGCCAGGGAGCCTTAGTGCCCTGTGCCGTCTGGCCAGGCGTTGCTGGGGTAGGCGTGCCAGCTGGGCTGCCATCGATGGATAGGCTGATGGCTGTGGCGGGCGGAGGGCGGGTGTGGGCCGCCTGACGGCAGCTCCGGGCTCGCGCTAGGAGCTCGGCGCTGCCAGCTCCCGTGGCGCAGGCTCCCAGGGGTCTGGCGCGCTGTGTTTGCACCCCTTGTGCGAGGTGACCTGGTGAGAGCGGTGACTCACGGCGTGTTTGCGGCGGTCAGTTCTACCTGCTGCTGCGGGACTGGCCGTGCGTGGACGTGGAGGTGGCGCTGGAGCTCCTCGGCTGCAAGCACCGGGACCAGAAGGTGCGCGAGTTCGCCGTCCGCTGCCTCAACAAGGTGCTCACCGATGACAAACTGTCTCAGGTAAGGGCGCTCAGCCGTGCGACAACCGCAGGGATTCGGCACCGATTAAAGCAGTATCCAGTGCAGTTGCAGTATCTAGTGACAGCGCATCGGCTGGCCGTGTCGGTGTGTCATGGCGGTGCGTCGTGTTGTGACAAAGGCATTGCAATGCAAAACCTGTTCATGCTTTGGTATCGACTAGAAGGTTAACGTAAAAAGCACCGTTAGGGTAGAGTGCTTCAAATGTTTAAGCCAACTCAGCATGCCATGTCAGTTGCTCTTGTTTTTTCAGTTGTTTCGTCGCTCTCCTACAGTTGTCCCTATCGTTGTCAACTTGTTCATGCTGGTGCATATGCGTGTATTTATCTGCCATGAGCCATGCCAAATCGCCACAGGCCGACATTGTGCCGGCTTGTGGAAACAAGTGGCGCGTAATTGCCATGTGCCCCACACTGGGCGTATCCACCCCCGCGGAGGGTGTAGACCGCACCAGTCTGTTGTTGACTGTTGTCAGATTCAGACAGACTCAGACTCAGTCAGACTGTTGACGCCACCCCGGCCAAGCTGGGACAGTTCGGAGTGCCCCCCGTCGGCCGGCACGTGGCGGTGGTGCGGCGCCGCTGCCCGGGCCGCCTCCCCTGGCCGGTCGGCTCAGGCGGGTGGTGTGCGCGTGCCGCCAGTACCTGATCCAGCTGGTGCACACGCTGCGACACGAGATGCACCTGGACAACGCCCTGACGCGCTTCATTCTGGAGCGGGCGCTGCGCAACAAGAACATCGGCCACTTCCTGTTCTGGCACCTCAGGTGGGGCGCGGCCGGCCGCGCTGCGGCGCCGTATGGAAGGGGCGCGCTGGGGGCTGGAGGTGCGGTAGTGGCGTCGGTTGGGAGAGGCGCGCTGGGGGCTGGAGGTGCGGTAGTGGCGTCGGTTGGGAGAGGCGCGCTGGGGGCTGGGGGTGCGGTAGTGGCGTCGGTTGGGAGAGGCGCGCTGGGGGCTGGGGGTGCGGCAGTGCGCCGGGTGGGAGAGGCGCGCTGGGGGCTGGAGGTGCGGCAGTGCGCCGGGTGGGAGAGGCGCGCTGGGGGCTGGAGGTGCGGCAGTGCGCCGGGTGGGAGAGGCGCGCTGGGGGCTGGGGGTGCGGTAGTGGCGTCGGTTGGGAGAGGCGCGCTGGGGGCTGGGGGTGCGGCAGTGCGCCGGGTGGGAGAGGCGCCCTGGGGGCTGGAGGTGCGGCAGTGCGCCGGGTGGGAGAGGCGCGCTGGGGGCTGGAGGTGCGGCAGTGCGCCGGGTGGGAGAGGCGCGCTGGGGGGCTGGAGGTGCGGCAGTGCGCCGGGTGGGAGAGGCGCGCTGGGGGCTGGAGGTGCGGCAGTGCGCCGGGTGGGAGAGGCGCGCTGGGGGCTGGGGGTGCGGCAGTGCGCCGGGTGGGAGAGGCGCGCTGGGGGCTGGAGGTGCGGCAGTGCGCCGGGTGGGAGAGGCGCGCTGGGGGCTGGGGGTGCGGCAGTGCGCCGGGTGGGAGAGGCGCGCTGGGGGCTGGAGGTGCGGCAGTGCGCCGGGTGGGAGAGGCGCGCTGGGGGCTGGGGGTGCGGCAGTGCGCCGGGTGGGAGAGGCGCCCTGGGGGCTGGAGGTGCGGCAGTGCGCCGGGTGGGAGAGGCGCGCTGGGGGCTGGGGGTGCGGCAGTGCGCCGGGTGGGAGAGGCGCCCTGGGGGCTGGAGGTGCGGCAGTGCGCCGGGTGGGAGAGGCGCGCTGGGGGCTGGAGGTGCGGCAGTGCGCCGGGTGGGAGAGGCGCGCTGGGGCTGGAGGTGCGGCAGTGCGCCGGGTGGGAGAGGCGCGCTGGGGGCTGGCGGTGCGGTACTGGTGCCGGGCGAGAGAGGCGCGCTGGGAACCGAAGGTGCGTTAGTGGCGCCGGTTGGGAGAGGCGCCCTGGGGGCTGGAGGTACGGTAGTGGCGCGTGATGACGTCGTGAAGCGCACCATCACATCGCCTGTGTTCCCACGCCGCGCTGTGTGCCTCTGGAGTGACGAGGTGACGGTGGTGGAAACGGCGGCTCGTGGCTATTAATTAAGGTTACCTCTCGTTCAGGTGTGGCGCATTGACAGCTGTTGCCCGCGTCCTGACCCAGTCGGGGCTGAACAAACAGCGGTTTGGTGGTCCATCGTGTGGAGAGCAGAATTGTGGCTTAACAAAATGAGTGTGTGTGTGGGGGGGGGGGGGGGGGGGAACGATTGTGTAGTGATTAACGCGCCTGCGTTAACCGCTGCCGGACTGAACAGTGAAAGATGACTCACCCTGCAAATACTCGCAACAAACGGGGTTTTCCCCAGATCTGGCCCACATCCCTCCCTAAGTTGGGGGGGGGGGGGGCTAGAGGCAAAGTTGGGAGGGGTTCAGCCCCCCCCCTCCAACTAAAAAGGAAACTACGCCCCTAGTGACGATAGTCGCCCCCCCCCCCCGCTCGGGCAGACTGTGGGTTGGTCGGCTGTCGGTGACGTCACTGGCTTCGCCCGTCAGGTCGGAGCGGCAGTCGGCCAGCTCCAATCAGCGGTTTGATCTGCTGCTGGAGGCTTACTGCCGCGGCCTGGGCCAGGAGCACATCAAGGCGCTCAACAAGAAGGTCCAGTGCCTGGAGAAGATCTCCATTCTGACGCAGAGTCTCAAGGATCGAAAGGACGAAGCGCCCAAGGTGAGGCCAACGATGCGTTGTCTTCCACGGCAAAGGCTTGCTTATTTCATATATGTTCAAGCATTGTGTCTGGGCCACCTTTCAAACTTCTTGTTTTTGGGATGTATGTCTCGGTAGCATGGTATACTGCGCAGGATTATAGCCTAACACTGCTGATTATCAGTCCCGCTCCAGGCATGGTTTTGCCAACGACCTGACTGCAGATGCGCGCTCTCGGCTGTGCGCCGCCGTGCCTTCCGACAGGCGGGACTCCCGTCGTATGTGAGCGTCTGGGACTGACCGTATGTCAGCAGCGGCCACTGACACGCGGGGCCCCTTCCGTGGTATTCCAGCGTCCGGGGCTGACCGCGTGTCAGCAGCGACCTCTGACACGCGGGGCCCCTTCCGTCGTATGTGAGCGTCCAGGACTGACCGTGTGTCCGGAGTGGCCTCTGACACGCGGGGCCCCTTCCGTCGTATGCCAGCGTCCGGGGTTGGCCGCGTGTCGGGAGCGGCCTCTGACAGGCGGGACCCCTCCCGTCGTATGTGAGCGTCCGGGGCTGACCGTGTGTCAGGGGTGGCCTCTGACACGCGGGACCCCTTCCGTCGTATGTGAGCCTCCGGGGCTGACCGTGCGTCGGGAGCGGCCTCTGACAGGCGGGGCCCCTTCCGTCGTATGTGAGCGTCCAGGACTGACCGTGTGCCGGGAGCGGCCTCTGACACGCGAGGCCCCTTCCGTCGTATGCCAGCGTCCGGGGCTGACTGCGTGTCGGGAGCGGTCTCTGACAGGCGGGACCCCTTCCGCCGCATGTGAGCGTCCAGGACTGACCGTGTGCCGGGAGCGGCCTCTGACACGCGGGGCCCCTTCCGTCGTACGCCAGCGTCCGGGGCTGACTGCGTGTCGGGAGCGGTCTCTGGCACGCGGGACCCCTTCCGTCGTATGTGAGCGTCCGGGGCTGACCACGTGCCGGGCCGTGGCAGGAGCGGCATAAGTACCTGTGCGAGCGGGTCAAGCAGAGCGACTACCTGGAGAGTCTGCAGAACATTCCGTCTCCGCTGTCGCCTCAGGTGCTGCTCGGCGAGATCCTGGTAGGTGCCTCGCCCCCGCCGCGCAGCTCACCAGCCGCGCCACTGTTGCGGACACGTGCTGTCGCATGCGGCTAGTTCGGACATGCCGTTGGATGCGTGCAGTGCATCCACGCGGTCTAGAGTCGGTGGACGCTCTCGTCGTGGCGTGATTGGCCCGGTCATCAATCACCGCCCGGCACGGTGTCAGGACGCTGACGCTGCGGCGGCCATCAGGCCTGCCGTGCTTGGGCTCTCTGCCGGGGCCTGTCACTGCTCCCTCACAGAGACGGGTTCGCCGGCGGCGGGTCGGCGGCGGCGACGCAGCGTCTGCGCCGATCCCGCGCGCTTAGACGCGGCTACCTCGTCGCTGTCCGTAGTCACGGCTTGTGGTCTGGCGGGAACGGCTCACCAGGGATGTGGTGTCATGCCACGGCCGCGGGCGTGCGGCGCGAGGAGCCGGCGACTTTCCCTCGCTTTAGTTGACGTCAGGTGATGAGGTGCCAGTGGTCGCAGCGTCTTGCTGGCGTCGGGGGCCACTTTGACTTTTTGTTTCATTGGAACGCCATGGATGTTATGTCAAACCAGCGCGAATTTAAATTAAACATTGTCGAGCCCCTCCCCCGTCGTGACAAAGTCTCTACACAACACACGGTGGCGGCACAGACGTCCGTCTGTCTGACTGTCTGGCCGACGCCCTGCGCCCGTCAGGTGGACGAGTCGCGGATCATGGACTCTGCGCGGCGGCCGCTCTGGCTCATGTGGACGAACCCGGACGAGACGGTGCGCTACATCGGGGACTCGCTGGAGCGCAACCGCGTCGAGAAGAACGCCATCATCTTCAAGAACGGAGACGGTGCGTCGGGGCGGCGACGAGCGATCGGCGCAGCGGGGATGTGGGGAAAAGGAAGGGCGGTCTCTCCTATTTGCTCCTCCGCCTTCTGTACATGCCAAGCGGAGGATGTCTGGGGAGAAAAGTCCCTGCTGTGGTGCGTTCGGCTGGGAGTGATGTCTGTCAGGCAGGCTGTCCAGCCAAGTACCCTTGGGAGCGTCGTTGTGGCGGGTGCGGCTGTGCGTGACCGCGCCGCGAGCCGTGAGCTGAAGGCGCCGGGTGACGGGCGCGCGCCTCGCTCGCCGCAGACCTGCGCCAGGACATGCTGACGCTGCAGGTGATCAAGATCATGGACCACACCTGGGACCAGGAGGGGCTCGACCTGCGCATGATGCCTTACAGCTGCCTGGCCACGGGCAGCATGGTGAGTCAGCTGGGCGCCCAGTCGTGCGGCTGGAAGAGGACGCCGGCGTCGCAACGGCGCCAGCCGGGAATGGGTGCAGGTTAAAAGGAGCCAGTCTCCAGGCGTTGTTACGGAGCGTCCGCGATGACGTAAACCTCTAAATCAGCCCTTGGCTTGCTTAGGAATGTGCGCGTCGCCTGTAACGTCGGGTGTATCATGAAGCCCTGCGTGGATCCATGCCGGTTATCGAAGACTGCTCTGGCTGGTGGTGCTACGTATGCCGGTGCCTCGAAGTCCCTCCGTCAAGCCGTCCGCCATTCTTCGGAATGGGTGGCTATCACCCGTCCGGCGTCGTCTGTTGAACGTCACGTGGTGTGTGATTGGTCTTCGGGTCGCTGCCTCTTTCTCGCCGTGTCTGTGAGCTGCTCGCCCGCACCGCCCCCCCCCCCCCTCCCATCCCCCGTCCATGCTCCAGTGTTGTCTGACCCCTCCTTCTCGCCCGGCGGGACGCCACCCATCAGCCGCTGACCCCCCCCCCCCTTTCCCCCGTCAGATGGGCATGATCGAGGTCGTACGCAATGCCAAGACGGTGTACCGGATACAGCGGGAGGCGAGCAAGCTGGCCGCCATCCAGGTGGACTCGACGCAGCTGCACAAGTGGATCCGCGACCGCAACCCGGGCCGGCTGTACGACGCCGCCGTCGACACGTTCACGCGCTCGTGCGCCGGCTACTGCGTGGCCACGTTCGTGCTGGGCATCGGCGACCGCCACCCGGACAACATCATGGTCAACCACCAGGGCCAGGTGGGGCCGAGTGGGGCTGGCCGTTCGGGACGGTCAGGCGCGTGGTCGGGTGCTGGCCGTCGGGAAGTACACCAAAAGTGGGCCAGCTGCCAGGGGAGAGCAGACGACAGCTGTCGGAAATCGACCCCGGAGACGATGGCTGGGTGAAAGAGGAGGGCGGACGGCCGTCAGGCAGACCGAGGGGGCGAGCTGGGATTGGTGGCGCCACCATTGTCGTCGGGTGCTGGGCTGTGTTAAGGTAGCGGTTGTTCTTATGATTGTTCGTTCACTCGCATCCCGATTTGGGGACAGGAGGGAGTGGATGACACGAGCTGATAAATGGCAGGTTAAAGTGATTGAAGGACTAATCTGTGGCGAAGCGGTAATGGCGGGTGTGGCCAAAGATATGCGATTAAAGTAATGCTATGCTTGTATGCTGGAGCCGTGTATCGCGAGAGGGAACACGTGATGTGTCCTTCCCAAACCATTCCTGGATGTGGGCCACGCGCGAGCTGGCAAACACAATTAATTTCGCATTATTCTTTGCCAGTATGCACTGAGCACCAAATTGCCCGTTATGCCGTGCCCCCCTTCCGTCTCGTCCCACATAAGATTGTGCCTCCCCGGGCCGTGCTGCGCGCGCGTGCCTCGGCGCCCTGCCGTCGTCACAGCGGGCCCGGCGCCTCCGGCAGATCTTCCACATCGACTTCGGCCACTTTCTGGGCCACTTCAAGAAGAAGTTCGGCATCAGCCGCGAGCGCGTGCCGTTCGTGCTGACGGACGACTTCTTGCGTGTGATCGCGCGCGGCGCCGACAACCCCAAGAAGAGCAAGGCCTTCCAGGAGTAAGTGTCGCGGGGCCCGGCGCCGCCCCGGTGACTTGGTGACCGCGACCTGTTGCGGGGACCGGCAGCGGGAGAGCCTGTGCTGGATGGCGCACGTGTGTTTGTGTGCGTGCGCGCGTGTAAGTGCGTGACGGAACGAGAGCATGTGACTGCGGTATCGTCATCACCAGGTGGCGCGCTGGGGTCCGACGCCGGTCGTGTGGTCGTCAAATCCCTATTGAGTAAACTCCAGAGCATGCCGGCTTCTCCCAAGCCCCAACAGATGTCGCGCGAGCTGCGCGTTGCCCTGCGGCGGCGGCGGCCGGTGGTGACAGTGCTGTGGCCGACAGTTTCCAGAAGCTGTGTGGCAAGGCGTACCTGGCGCTCCGCAAGCACAGTCACCTCTTCATCACGCTCTTTACCATGATGCTGTCCACGGGCATCACCGAGCTACAGGTGCGGCTGTGAACGGCTCCTGCGCCTGGCATCCGAAGATTGCCTCTGTGTACGGCTATTTAGGAGTAGTTTGTTGTAAAGCTTTGAGTATTTCAGTTTGGTGCAAATTTGTGGCCGTTTTTGGACGAGAGGTCCAGGCTGCGCGCGTTAATGATTGGTTGCTGTATTATTCATCTATTTATCACCTGTAATGCATTTTTGCGTGCCGGCCATCAAATCTGAAGTGTAGATTCAGTTTGGGATTGTTGAAGTGAGTAATTAAGCCGTACCAATTCAGCAATTTGTGGGTCGCACTGTTCAGAAATTCGGGAAGGTGTGTAATTTGGCAGGGATCTCATGCTGTCTGGGTTTTCCAACGGCCTGAAGACATGGTTAGAGAAGTTTGTTCTGTTATCAGGGAATGCTTGTAAACGACTGCTCCGGCGTCTTGCCTTGTAGAAGACCCCGTGCCTGTGCGGATCCCGACCAGGAAGCCCCATGTCCGTATATATATATATATATATATATATATATATATATATATATATATATATATATATTTATATACCAGAAGCCTATCTCGGTCCGGAGGCCCCTTGTCTGTACTGATCCCGGACAGTTGGTCCCGTGTCTGTACTGATTCCGGTCAGGAGGTCCCGTGTCTGTACTGATCCCGGTCATTTGGCCCCGTGCCTGTACTGATCCCGGTCAGGAGGTCCCGTGCCTGTACTGATCCCGGTCAGGAGATCCCGTGCCTGTACTGATCCCGGTCAGGAGGTCCCGTGCCTCTACTGATCCCGGTTAGGAGGTCCCGTGGCTGTACTGATCCCGGTCAGGAGGTCCCGTGCCTGTACTGATCCCGGTCAGGAGGTCCCGTGCCTGTACTGATCCCGGTCAGGAGATCCCGTCCCTGTACTGATCCCGGTCATTCGGCTCCGTGCCTGTACTGATCCCGGCCAGGAGGTCCCGTGCCTGTACTGATCCGGGTCAGGAGGTCCCGTGCCTGTACTGATCCCGGTCAGGCCTGTGCTGATCCCGGTCAGGAGGTCCCGTGCCTCTACTGATCCCGGTTAGGAGGTCCCGTGTCTGTACTGATCCCGGTCAGCTATCTCGTCAGGGGGCACCGTGTCTACCGATCTACTGGTCATTGACTTGGTGCTGTCAGCCCCGGATTACCACTCAGAGACCGATGCTAGCGGCATGTCTCTGCGATGTCAGCACTGTGTCCCTCATCTCCTCGCCTTCGATGACGCTGCCACTGCGTCTCATCACCATCCCCGGCTGTGGATATCACACCGCGCGCGTCATCCTATCTGTTTTGCGGCATTCGTGGGGAGAGTACGCACCGGCCCGCCCGTCGTCCATGCTGGCTGATATCTTCGCCGAGTCTGAAGTCGCTGCTCTGATGCCACTACCGGGTTTGTCTTTCCCCGGCACACGAACAGCCGGGGTCGGGCATTCCATGACCTACCCATGTGCAGTGAAAGCGTACATGAACTCTGATCTCAGAAATACTTGGCCGTAAAAGTGGTTCGCCCTGCCCATTTTGGGGACGTTCCCGCGTCCTCGGTCATGCCCGACCTGTCCGCGTGGCCACCGTGCGCGTCTCACTGTCACCGCCGCCGCCGGCAGTGCGCCGACGACGTCAACTACCTCCGGAAGACGCTGCAGGTGGAGGTGGGCGAGGAGCAGGCGCTCGAGTACTTCCAGAACCAGTTCAGCGAGGCGTACGGCGGCGCGTGGACCACCAAGCTCGACTGGTTCTTCCACTCGGTGAAGCACATGTAGCGCGTCGGCCGCGTGGACGGTGTGCCTTCCGGCGGCGCCCCGCTCTCCGGCCGGGAGCGTGCCGGCGTGCATTTAGCAATACGGCGTACGCGCTCGCGGCGGCGCGGCCGCCCTCGCCGCCGGCGCTATTTATTGGTAGCTGCGGCGGATAGTCATGGCAGCGTGCGAGTCGGGAGCGAGTGCGCGCGCGAGAGAGAACCCGAGAGAAGAGCGCGCGAGCGAGTCCGAGAGAAGCGCGTTCGACTGTTGGAGCAGGAGCGAGCGCGCGTGGCGGTCGTTTTAGGGCCGCGGTCGGGCGGTCTGCCGCGCGCCGGTCCGTGGGGACGGCGCGCCGGCCGGCTCGCCTTCGGCGGTCGTCTGTTTTACCGTGTATTGGGGCCGCCGGCGCCGTTCGGTCGGGTCGGGCGGCGCCCTCGTGCGTGCGCGCGCTGGGCGGCGTCATCACTCCACTGGCGCTGGTGCGCCCAGCCTCTCACAGTGCAAACGGGCCGGCCGGCCGCGCGGTCGGCCCGCCGAATACATTGTAGTGCCGGACCGGCGGTGTGTGACTGCTGGGAGGCGGCGGCGCGGCGCCGAGCGACGCGCCTCTGGTGACGGCCGGCCGGGACTGAGCGGCCAGCCAGCCGTCGGCTGTCGTCGGCGGACCTACGCACACAGAGACACGCACGAGGCGCAGCGGGATGATGCGGCCACGGTCACGTGAGCTTGGGTCACAGCGGTCACGATGCGCTTGGGGATTGCACTGCCATTGAGCTCTCCTGGAGGGCGTGGATCTTGTCGTAACGCTGCTGAGGTAGGGCCCGTGTTTGCAGTTGGAATAAGACCACTGCTTGTAATCAAGGTCGAAAGTCGGCGCCGCCACTGGATGAAAATCAGTGCCATCAAGTATCGCACTCGTGCTCATCGCTGGGCTAACCCCAAATTCCCGAAAGGCTTCGGACGGCGTTTGTTTCTGGTGACGATCGTACGTGATGACCCTGGTGGCGTGGATTGTGTTTGTGCTCTCTAGACCGCAGCTGGGCGCGTGCCGGCAGCACGCAGCCGAGCGGTGTAGCGTCCCACGCCAGCGCGGGTCACGCATGAGGCCACGAGTGTCGTGACCCCAGCGAACACTCGGCGTTGCCCTGCGGCGCGGCTCTGACGCCGTGACGCGTCGGCCGTGTTCGTCGATGCTAATGGGACAAGCCGTCCGGCCTCTGACGCCAGCCGTCCAGTCTCTGACACGGCACGTCAGTCGGCGCAGCGGGAGCCGTCGGGTTGTTTTGTCTTGCGCTGTCCCGGCGGTCGGCAGCGCATAAAGCGCCGGCCTGGGGAGGCGCCGCCGCTGCGCGCAGCTCGCGCCTGCGCACTGTAGCGTCGCTCCACACCGTTGATTCTTACTAGGCACGTATTTTGTGATGAGTTAGGAGTATCTTTTCATTACTATTACTATTATTTTAATTTTCTTGACCAACTGGTTAAAACGTCGGGATTTTGTCAAGATGCCTGTGATCGATTCCCGCCCAAGGGAACTTTCGCTAGCCACGGCTGCCATCTGAGCCCGGCGATGGAGATGACCCAAAAGCCTGCCTGCCTTTATAGCTGTTGACCAAACAGTTTGTTCTGCTGCGGCACCCTGCCAGCCGTTCCTCTGACGACAAACGCTGAAGAGAAGCCGGACAAGCCGCGCCTTGACGGGTCCGGTGACCGGGACGGCAGCTGTCCTCCGAGTCTGTGCGACTGCACGACGAGGCAGGACGCAGATGTACCGAGGTCACCCCTACCCCGCTGACGGGGCGCTGGGGACGGCCGTGTAACCTCAACATTGCTATTCTGCGCAGTCCATTCTGGCCTTGTTTCCTATCCGAAGTTAAATAGTTTGTTTCATCTTCAGCACATTGCGACGTTTGTTTCATTTCGGTGGTGGCCAGCCCGGCGCTCGGCGACACGTTTCAGGTCCGCAGTATCGTATTCACCTAAACGGTGAGTCAGACACTTTATGGCGTCCCTCGCCGGGCTGAAACCGCCGCCGATGGCCGTGCCTTAACAATGCATGGCGTTGCCTAAGCCACGGAGCTATAACCATTCCCCTGTGTACACTTGCGCCCGCAGATCCCTTTATTGATATGGTGCCATTCTGAATTTGCACCACGCCGCCAATGTCTTCACTAGTGCTGAGAACCGCGAACCGAAGACAGTGAGGCGGCTTCGTGTCTAGATACGCACGTTTGAATGGCTCAGGCCCGACGAGTTATAAGCGGTGTTTACATCAGTTGAATTTTTTGCTACATATCAAGGTGCGCATTCCTGGGCACATTATGGAGAGGCTGGAATGATGACGAAGGGCATTGTAGGGCGCGTCGGCTACTGAGGCCATTTTGCGCTCTCGACAGGGGCTGGAATGGATGCGGATTGTGTGGTATCTGTTTTTGATTGAGTGGGGCGAACCGGTGCTGGCGGGGCGGTGGACGCTGACAGGGATAGAGTTGGATTGGAGGGGGGAGAAGAGAATTTACCTCGTTTGTTCACACGTCACCCCGCATTCGGTTACCGGACATTTTGTCCAGGTATGGGTCACCCCTTGAGTAAACCCTTCCCCTCCCCCCTCACCACGTAGCTCCGCCGGCCTTCCATTCAGGTGTGAACTCGCACTTGGCCGTCTTAACCAAGACACATACCAAGGGTGATCTGGAGACCGTCGAGGCATCTAATCCATGCCTCGGGGACGTCTCTCCCGTATGTGCAGCTTATGCTCTGCCCCCAAAACAGACCCGAAACTTGACATAGCACAAGAAAGCCGCGATGTTACCAAAAAGCATTCTGCGAAACACGCAACATAGCACGGCACGCGCGAAACTCAACCCATGAGCAGTGAGCAGTGGGCAGTGCGCTAACCATGGGGACCGACCTCTGTCGAGGTGGAGAGATCCACGGGCGCGTCACCGACGTCGGCCACATTCGTAACGTCAATCTCCTCGTCCGACTCCTCGCGACTCGCGGCGGCGCCCGCTCTCCGCTCCGGCGACGCCCCTAGTGGCGGCCGGCTGTAACTCGCAGTTTGCGGCACGCCCGCCGGAGGGCTCTGCCCGAGGCCGGCGCCGAGCCGCCAGCGCAGCAGCGCCACCGGATCGAAGACGGGCGCGCCGAGCAGCGGCGGACACGGCGCGGCCGGCAGCAGCCCCAGCTCCAGCCCCGGTTTGGGGAAGAGCACGGACGACGCCAGCTCCAGCCCCGGCTTGTGGAACAGCGCCGGCCGTCGGAGCAGCTGGAGCTCGCCGGCAAGACACGGCGGCAGCCAGGGCCTCGCGAACGGCACCCGCTCCAGCTCCGGGAACGGCGCTCGCTCCAGCTCCGGGAAGCACATCGGGAACCTGGGGAGCGCGCCCAAATAGATGACGGCCGGCGCCAGACGCTGCACTTTCCAGCTGTTTTATTGTTGACCGACAGGCGCAGAATCGGTTCGAACAGGATGTTCACATCTCAGTAGAGTTTCATCCCCGACTCTCCGTCTATGACCTAGCAAGCACAAGAAACTGCATCCAGGTGCCAATTTGCACCGTTTCTTAGCTTCACAAGTGCAGACTTGTTTCAGCGTATCACGAACCATGCACAGCGATCACATGGCTACGGGTTCCCATGGTTACGAGTTCAAACAAACACAGTATAGGGAAAGCCGTGTACTGGTTTTGAGAGCCCCGGAGTTGAGGGAACCATAGGAAAATGGTCGCACTTGAACTGTGATTAGTTACGGTATGTTGTGGGCTAGAAAATGTGCCTCATGTATTCAATATCGTAAACCGGACGACTAGTTCAGCGCGGCCACGAGAACATTCTGAAAGCTGTAGCAATTCTTACACAGCTGAAAAAGGGGATGCTTCTGCCCCCCTCTGTGCGAGCATCCATCGCCCAAAACGCTGCTTGTCACAGTTTTTGCTCCTATTCGTGTTCCAGATCGGTAGCGCGGACCCTGACCAGCCGCGTCCATTTACCTGGGCTCGCTTCTTCCGCTTGTGGCGGTGAGTTTCGGCCGCCTCCGGGGCTTGTACTTGTAGTCGGGGTGCTCCTTCATGTGCAACGCTCTGCAACAGAACAACAGTCCAAAATGTCCACGGGCGCCCGAGCGGATGGATGCCGTAACACTTCATGCTAATGGTAGCGTGCAAGTCAACGGAAAGGCACTGCGTCGTAAGAAAGCTTTTGCTTCCAATGCGATGCAGTATTCTTTTGCATTTGTCGCCGCGGGTGTCGGCGCCTAGTTGGAAGGGTACAGACATAAAGACATTCACAAATACAGCTGTTACCGCAAAGCACAGGTGACTATCACATTAGTCTGGCTGCGGCTTGTTGTTGCATAAGATAACTTCATAAATTTTCAAACGTCAGCTTTCATCGTCTATAAAAAACGGTTACTCATCGTCGCTACCGGTTTCGGTAGCGAATACCTCGCACTGGGTGCAGGTTCTCGATGCTATTACTAATCCTACGGAATTCGGTGCAGTCTGCCGCCACCACTAGACGTTCCTGGACCCCGGTCTTTGTCGATGCTCAGATTTCGCCCAAACCGAACTGTCGGGTGACGTCACTGGCCTCTAGGATTCATCCAGACCGCGGCCAATGAGGTGGATCTACTCAGTCAATCATGCAACTGATTGCAATGCGTCAATCCGCTGCGTTCAACTGGTCAAACAATCGGCGCCGCCAGCTCCAATGATAGTGAAGCTGGAATGTACACAAACAAGGCCTGCGCGATGATAAAAGTCAGCCTCAGCACTTCTCGATCACAAATCTGGCCGCCTGATGTTCAAATGCTGTCCGAGACGCGCAGGTCTTCGTAGTTTGTACCGAGTGCCTCTCGGCCTCGTACGCTGCCGACGGTGCTTTGGTCAAAGACGGACCTCCCGCGCTGGCGCCAGCGGTCGCTTTCTGACGCTAAACTTTAACTCGGCCACCGGGCACTCCTCCAACCCAGGTCTCCAATAACGCCAGCGGGCACTCCTCCGACCCAGGTCTCCAATAACGCCAGCGGGCACTCCCTGACCTTGGTCCAATAACGCCATCGGGCACTCCCTGACCTTGGTCCAATAACGCCACCGGGTACTCCCTGACCCGGGGCTCTAATGACGCCACTGGGTGTTTTTGGGCCTTGGTGTTCGCCTCGGCGGTTTATCTTACGGGACCTTCCCATGTACTAATGTAAAGCCTTCTAGCATTAGAACAGAATATCGGAATAAACCTACCAAAATGCCCAGACAAAATATCCGAATATACCTAAACGATTATTGAGATATCAAAACCAAACAAAATGCTTAGACTTACTTCGATGCCATCTGACCTAATAGTACTTATCTCCGTCATAACTTCGCTCGTCCCACACCGCGCAAGACGTCTCTTGG